TTTTATTTCTTTCTCTTTTTTTGGTGCGATGTTGAATTAAAGATACAATATCTACTTGTCACTGTAATAAGAATTCTTAAAGTCTGGATGAAATACTTAACATGAGTTGACACCACTGTGGCTTGGCGGCACGTACATTAGGAATAACCTCAATGAAGTTCAACGCCGATGCATAATTGTCTTATTATCTTTATAGGTATAGTTCTCTAGTATTATTTTGATTTATTACTGATTTTATATGATTATCCTAGACTGAGTAGTTTAAATGTGTGCAGACCTCTAGGTACCTGTTGGGCCTAATTTGCAAGTGAACATACAGTCATTGCTTATGCAAATAGTGAACATGTTCTCATTCAGAGGCTAAGAGGCAACTTTGATCTCAAGATGCCCCTGCTTCTCTACCTGTTTGTTAATAGAGTTGGAAATCCATCCTGGTGTGCTGAGCAGGTCGTATTTTCTGTAATGGTTTTCTCTTGAACCTTTTAACTTTGTGTTTTATCTGGAAGAATTAAAATTTTTTTTATATAATTTAGTACATTTCAAATTGATAACTATAAGCAAGAATCCTCACTGAAAGTATTCTATAAGTAAAATGTTGGCAAATGGATAAAATTAAAAGAGATAATCATTCTATTATTGTCATTTGCCCCAAATAGTCATTGAGGTGTATATTTCCTATAGGGCTGAAGTTTTTGAGTGGTGTTTCCCAGACCTAAGTCAGACAGGACGGCATCATCAGTGCCAGAAATTTGCTTTTATGATCCCTGACAAAATGGAGCAAAACTTGACAGGCCCGGATGGTTGATTTAACCTTACCCCCCAAAATGTATTTTTTTAAAGTCATGATTTCTAAGAACAGTTGCTGTGTGTGTGTGTGTGTGTGTGTGAGTGTGTGTGAAGAATGCTTCTTTGAACAAGGAAAACATTATAGATACAAAGGGAACCTAATTTGCAAGTGAAAATAAATTGTTCATGCAGATATGAGTACATTCTCATTTAGGGGCAATCTATTCATTGCCTCTTTTATTTGCCCCCCCCCAAAAAAACACCTCTAGACATATAATCACTATTCAAATCTAGTCAGCATATTTACACTAGAAACAAATTTAACCAATTGCAGAAAAATAGGTGGAGCTGTTTTAAGCATTCATTAAATCTCTCAGGGCAAGAGGGTAAATTAAACTTTATAAGGCTACTATAAAAATAACTTTTAGAATTTCAGTATGGTTGTGTAATTTAGTGTTACCAGATTCAATTTTAACACCAAAATTTAGCTTCCAAAAAATCCTCCCAACGAAGCACTCTGTCCGGGAACTGCAACTCTGCCCGCCACACAAGCATCGAACAGTTAGGGCGCCAGCACGTCCCACTCCGTGCCGAATCAAGAGCGGCCTTGCAGTGTCCAAAGAGAATCCCACGGTCTGACCAGTCTTGAGTAACTACCGCGGCAGGTCCACGCCCTGCAGGTGAGCTTCTGTCCTCGGGATGGAAAGTGTTGTCCCTCCTACCCCGTAATAGTGTGCGTCATCATGGCCAAGAAGCCAGCTTTCTACAATTTATTTTCTCACTTTTGATGATGCATCTTGGAGAAGGAAATAAGGTAGTGTGATGTGAATCTTAAAATGTTGTTTGAAAAGCTAAAACACCAGTGAGGGTCAGACTTCCATGAAGAATGACTAGCACAACTAGCTACATGGGAAATAGCCGTGGAAGCCAGGCCGGTGAGTGGGGGACGGAAAAGCTGCAGTGTGTTCAGACACCACTGGGCCCGTGGGGCAGCGTGGACTGTGGCTTTCAGCTCTGCGATTTGAAGAACCCAAAATTTCTCCTACTCACAAAACAGAACTAAATTATACACATAGTCTTGTGTTCCAGTGATAGTTCAATTTCTCTGTGCTAAGTATGGCCTTTGTAGTTCCCTATGAAAAGGGTACAAATCTCTGGAAAAGATGGCACACTAGTTGACAGTCATATTGTGGTCAGGTATATGACCATTTCCTGTAGAGAGAAAGATCTGTGTCAAGTACCCTGGGGAATTAGCCAAATGGGGAGGGAGTCAACCCGATACAAGCTGCATTTCCCCTACCTTTGTAAACAAAGTCGCCGTGTAATCAGAGAGAAGCCCAACTTTGAATTACGACATCGGTGATGAGTGAGAAAGTTGAAGAGTGTTGATATTTGTCCTTAGCCCAAAGCAGTCCTGGAGTGTGTGTGTGTGTGTGTGTGTGTGTGTGTGTGTGAGAGAGAGAGAGAGAGAGAGAGAGAGAGAGAGAGAGGAACTTGAAGCTGAGCTGAGAAGTGTCAAGGTAAGAAAGGTCAACAGGTCACAGCGGCAAGTGCAGCAGGGCCTGTTAGGAGTAATCAAAGGCCTACTCAGGGAAGCAGCAGGAAACAGAGGGCTGGGGTTTCCACCCAAGGGAGGTTACAGGGGCCATCTGGCCAGGGAGAAGTTGTCTTAACTCTGCAAAGGTTTAAAATCCAGTTTAAAACACTGATGGGGAAAACCCCACAACGAGCAGTGTGATCTTTTTCCCTCTCTCACATGTGGGAGGGGGCGATTCTGCCCGAATAGCTCAGCATCATTTTAAAGGGGTTAATAATGTATTCGCAGATTACTTTGGCAAGTGCTTCTGCCACCTCTTTTCTTTCTTCCTTTCTGTGTTTCAAGAGGCCTCCTCATGAGATCAGTGGCTTCCAGTTTCTTCCTTGGAGATTGACCTCCCTGGGGAAGACTAGAATGACAGTGCGGGCTGACCAAATTGTTGTCGGGAGTCATTTGTTGCTCATGAGGCTATTAACATGGACACCAGTTCATACTGATGTATTATTTTAATGCCAGCACTTTACACTGAGTGAGTGTGAAGTCTTTCACCAAGACTTTCTGGTTTCGAACAGTGGTTTCACACTGTAACAGTGTTGCAGTGTTTGCTCTCTCACAACAACACGTGTGCCTCCTTTGAAAGTTTCGTTTCCTTCACTAAGAACCAGAGAGGAGGGCAGAACTTTAGAACAGCCCCTGCTGGAGGTAGAAGTATGACTGAGGTATTGGAAAAATATTTTAATGGGTAAAAAGCACCTGAAATATCAGATTATTGGAAAAAATGCATTTTTATGCATAGTTGGCTTTTGCCGCTGAGGCTCTGGGTGGGGGAAGGTGGGGGAGTGCGGGGGGAGGGGGGATAGAAGGTTTTGAAAGTGGGCCTTGCATGACCAGATTTGTGTCTTTAAAGAGTAAAAAGCTTCGTTCACCTGAGAATAGAGAGAATGAAGACAGGGTGACATTCAGGAAGGTATTTTTATGGTCCAGGTGAGAGAAGACAGAGACCATGCAGAAGAAGAAGAGGGGAAGGGCCAAGAATCCTCAGGACGTGGTTTCCTAGCCACTGTGACAGCATCACTAGTGACTGTGAACTTGACTGCTCCTGGCCTCCCACAAATTTCCAGGCCAGACTTGGTGAACGAGAAGGAAGGATGCATTTCAAGACCAGCGAGTGTTGTTTAGTCAGGTCGTGGTGTCCGGTGGGTCACCCCATGCTCTGCCGGCAGGAAAAGGGAACACAGGGTTCACAGGGTACCATCTAGGATATATTAGAATTTATTTGGACATGATTCTTTACCTGCATCGGAAGGATACAGGGAGAGTCTGAATCTAGAAATCGACCTGCCCGCTCGGCTGAAGCAGAAGTAGGGGAGAAGCAGGATGTGTGGAGAAAGTTTGGTCTGGTGGTAGAACGTGGTGCTCAAGGACTTAACACAACAGTAGGTTCAAGTTCAGGCAGGATGTCTGAACTAAAACAAGAAACTCCTGAATATATACTAAATATAATAATCTTTACAAATTATGAGGATCGAAACCTTCAAAGACTAAAAGAAACAGCAGGCAGGGAAGCTTGAAGAGAAAGCAAGAAGTCACTTTTAGGAAATAGATCATATTATCTTCTTTAGACTTAAAGCAGGTATAGACTTAAAGCTAAATAGTAAACCACATAAATAATGACTCTGGGGATGTTCAGCTGCTTACCATCTCAAGTCAGGGGCTGGGGAGCCGCTGATCCTGTAGGTGTAAATGTCATGGAGACCCAAGCGTCAGAAGGAGAAAGGACGTCCAGCCAGGAACCTGATACCACCTACAAACTAAATTCCATCCTGACCAGGGGGTCTGATTACTCATTGATTCATTATTAAACACTTAGTGAAGGTCACCTCCGGTGCCACTGGTGCTCTCTGGTTTTGTGATACAAGCCTGAAAAGGAGACGCTGCCTGCCCTCAAGGAGAGGTGAGAGTCGGCAAGCAGAGAGCCCAGTGCCCTCCTTAGTAACGGTTGGCTCAGCAGAGGCCTCAGCAACACCCTCTTGGAAGAGAGGTGAGGAGCAGGGCCTCAGCCCACATCAGAGGCCGCCCCTTCGGTGGGAAGTCATTCCTCAGCACGGACAGCCTTCGCAGGACTCCCCAGGCTGCCTCGGCCACAGGTTTTCTGCACTCGGGCACGGGCAGAATGATGTAGGAAACTGAAACCGCTGAGATACGGTCCGACTCCAGCTCCAGGCGGGTGGGTCATTTCTGTGTCTGGACTCGAGTGCAGATTCCCAGATGCGGTAGAGACTGCAGCCGCGTGCGGTGTCTGAGGCATGACTGCTGCGTTCACACCTCCTCGCACCCACCTCCTGCCCCGCTCCGAGCCCCTAACTAGGGGTGTGAGCAGTCAAGACGGTCTGAGAGGGGAAATGGTATATTAGTGTAGTTCGTAGTGGATGGACAACATTTGAGAACTCTGGGGTAGAAATAATTTTTTTTTAATTTTGAAGAAAAGGTACGTATTACAAACTAGTGTCATTAGATTATTGTTGTCATTTTCCACTTCAGTCAGGTCTGCAAGTAGCAGGAAGAGGATCGGGATAATTTTTGGTCACTCGTAGCCAGACACCATGAGGAAAATACTCCAATAAGAATTATATTCCATGGTTAGTACGAACAAATGTGTGCAGAAAATACAAAGGTGATCCTTTTGTAGTTCATGAGTGTGACGATTGGGTGTTCGTGCTCCTGTGTGACAGGTGCCCCCCCACAAACCTTGTTACAACATCGGCACGTTACCCATCTGACAAATGAAAAAAACGAAAATACAAAGGTAGGCAAAAGTAGGTTTCCAGTTGTGAGCACACAAAACAGTTTGTTCTTGTATGATTATTTATAATTTCCATATGAACAACTGTAAACCTACTTTTGCCAGCCTGTGTATGTCGGGGGTGGGGACGTAAACTAGACACCTGGTCGGTATAGGCCAACGGGCTGTCAGCTACTCTCCCTTACATCACTTACTAACTCATGTCAGCGAGGGCGTGGAGAAGCAGAGCCCCCCCACGCGAGAGCGGGGATACAAACAGGTGTGGCCTCTTTGGACAGCACTGTGGTCGTCCCTCTGATGGGGAAGCGGGAAGTTACCATGTGATCGAGCAGCTCCTCTCCTGGGGGTGTACCTGAGAGAGATGAAAACACGTCCATGCAAAACTCACACGCAGATGTTCATAGCAGCATTATGCACGATCGCCGAAAAGTGAAAACAACCCACGTGTCCATCAGCGGGTGAGTGCACTAACACATACTCATGTGCTAGAATATTACTTGGCAATAAGAAGGGATGAAGGACTGATGCGTGCTGCAACCCCAGTGGACCTTGGAAACATTATGCTCAGTGCAGGCAACCAGTCCCAGAACACCACGTGTTGTGTGATTCCATTTATGTGAGATGTTGAGTTGGCAAATGCATAGAATGCAAACAGAAAGTGCATTCCTGGGTGTCTAGAGCTAGAGGGTTTGGGGTGATGAGCTGGTAGGTACGAGGTTTCTTTGGGGGCTGATGGAAATACTCTAAAATGGTTAGAGGGCTGGGCGCATAGCCCTGTGAATGCACCAAAAACCGCTGCGTGCACATGTTAAACAGGTAGATTGTGCGGAATATGAATATAGCTTAATAAAGCTGCTGCTTTTTAAAAATCTAGCTTTAACACCTTACCAGCTCTTGCTGTCTTCGACGTGCTGCAGCCACAGCTGTTTGCAGTGGTGTTTGGGGGAAGGTAACGTGTGACTCTCTGGTACCTTAGGTCCTCTAACGTTAGGCTTCTGAGGTCATTGGGAACTACTGCTTAACTAAGCCCGGCTGCACTCACAGTCCAACAGCACCATCTGTGCTGTTCGTTAGACAAGTCCATTCTGACAGATCGCTTTGTATTTCAAAACAACGTTGATTTAATGACATAGCACTGCTGTGTAGGCTCATGGAATGAGTTTAAAAAACATCAGGTCATCATATACTTAGGTTATAGCCAATAGATTGTTTATTGAGCAATCTTGACTCAGGAGGCATTAACATGGAATGGTTTTCATTTTCTCCAGTCTCACTGCCTCAGGCCAGGTTTTGTTGAATCTTGTTTTTCTAACCCTTAACAATATTTAGCAGATCTCATAGCACTCAGGTCACTTTCCATTATTAGCAGATCAACACAGTCCGTTTTTAAACCCCCGTCTGATACCTGATTTAAATTTAATTTCTGCCTCCCATCAGAGTAGATGGGACACGGTCTGGTTCTGGGACCTCCTTTCCCTCCCTTTTCACTTCACCTTGGCCTAACTTCCAAGCAGTAGAGACTAGATAACAGGACAGAAAAGTGTCCCTCTACCTGATGTCCCTTTCATCCTTTCCACCTCTTTGGCAAGCAGTGTCTTGCCATCTCTGCCTTCTGGGTGACAGGTGACAAAATGCCACTTCACCTTTGGGTAGTTTGGAGAGCTCACCTTCCAGTTTCCTGATGTGGGAGACCCAGCCTTGGCTGCACCTCCATGGCACCCCCCCTGGTGGGGCCCCCAGATGTGGGGCAGGGGCATGTGCACACACATGTCCGTAAATTCACTGTGCACTGCACTGCTGCGCACTGCACAGGTAAGCTGTGCAGTGCTCCTCAGTGCAGATCCCACAGGCCAGTTAAATCTCCCAGACGACTTTCAGTGACTGTTGCCAGAATCTTACGTGCTTCCACCTTATGGCTGCAGCTGACAAATGAGTGTGGTTTTAACATGAATGTTGGGTGATATTTTCATTTAAATTAAATGAGAAAGAAGTGAAAGACAAAGGATACTGGAACCTGACTTATTAGTCAATGTCATGAGCAACTTCTTTGCTGAATAAAATAATAGTTTAAATACTGGAAGACTATATCCTTCAATTTTTATGCCATTCAGAGTGTAAGGACTCTAAATATGATACATTTTTATAAGTTTAATCTGTTTTATTAACATTTTTCCATCACTTTCTTAATGCAGGCAACGAAACAATGAATTAAATCCCAGTTTGTAGCATTTGCCGATTTCAAGCTACATACAGCGCCTTACTGGATGCGTAATTGGGACAAGAGGCACAGTAGCACACTGGTCTTTTCCTACAATACAGATAAAGTAGACATTTTAAAAACTATGAGGATAAATAACAGCAGTAAAATAATTAAGAAATGAATCTTGTTTATTACCTTTATAAATTATTCTGTTGGAACTTTATATAATTAAATTTTACTAACAGCTGTGTTTAAATTCCTAACACATTAAAAATTGGCTGGCCAGCTGGCTCAAAAAATACCACTGCCCCTCTCTCACCACGTTCTCCTGCGAGCCTCATAGCTGCTGGGGCGCCCTCCCTGGGACGCCACCTTCTGTTGGGACACAGAGGAGGTAGTGGTGCAGGTGCTTCTTTGGTGGTCTCTCTGCTCGGTGCCGGGGGTAAACCAGCAGGTCGGCTGCTGTGCGGCTCATGTCTGGTTTAAATCTCCAGCCAGGGAAGACACCGGAGTCTCCTGGCAGGCACCCTCCGTGTTCACGAGTGAGTCTGTCGGTTCCTCCTTGCACAGCTGGGAGAGGGAAAGTCGTCTCTCCCTGTCTGTGTGTTGGTGGGAGGCGGGCAGGCAGGGAGGCTCCACCCCCCCACCCCCACCCCCTGCACTCCCAGGGCGGTAACTCAGTGTTCCCACAGAGCTCTCTCCTCTTCCCTAGTTTATGGCAGACTCCTGGGACTGTCAGCTTTCCTTCTCTTAATAAGTCTTAAGAAAGGTATTACAGTCTTTTTTAGCATTCGAGGTACTCAGTACCTCTTTTAGCATCACCAGTTATTAATTCTGGGTTAGCAGCATATTTTATGAGATTTGTATATAGTTTTATTTAGGACTCTCCAATTTAAATCTAGTTTCATAATGCCCATTATTTGCTTTAAATTATGGACATGATTTTCTCCCTAAATTATTTAATATATATTATATTTTACATATATATATGCACTGCGTGTGTGTGTGTGTGTGTGTGTGTGTTCAGGGTACTTATTCATCTTTCTGGTTTGGGTTGGGCCTATAATTAGTAGTCAGGTTTCCCCACATTCCAGAAGGCAAAAACCTGTGCTTTGTCCTACCCAGATGAATTCAGGTTTCCTACACCTTGATAATATTCTTCAAAAAGACATGAGATTTCTGTAACCTTGGAGTGAAATACCTTTAATTGCTCCAAGTCTCAACCTCATCAATATTAAGGTTCTACCAAATATCAAAACATACTATAAGACTACAGTGAGGCCCTGGCTGGGTAACTAAGTTGGTTAGAGCATTGTCCCAATATGCCAAGTTCGCAGGTTCAATTCCCAGTCAGAGCACATACAAGAATCAACCAATGAATGGGTAACTAAGTGGAACAACTAATTGATCTCTCTCTCTCTCTCCCTCTCTCTCCCCCCCCACCCCACCCCTTCCCTCTGTTGCCCCTCTCCTCTTTCTTCTCTCACTTCCTCTCCCCCATCCTCTCTCGCCCTTCCTCTCTCGGTCCAGACTCGGATAGGAGCCCTGTGTGTGATAAAGCCGGTACCGCACGTAACAGTTATGACATGTAAACACAGGAGAATATTTCTGAAATACCGGGGTGAATGGACAGTGCCTTTATAATTAAGCATGACATCAAACCGGGAAATATTCAGGAAAAATTGACTTGTTCGGTTAAAAATTTTAAATGTATGCATGGCAAGGACACCTTAAACCAGGTTAAAGGACAAGTGATAGACTGTGACGAAGTACTTCCTCCACACAAAGAGGGTGAATAGTACTGACGTTGAAGGGGCACCGAATTTATTTTGGCTGAAAACTGAAAACCAGGGTTCAAATCAATGAACAGCCTAAGGCGAGGGTGAATGTTCCCCTAGTAAAATGATCTTCTGAGATACAAGAGTAAATGCGAAATCTATTCTGAGAACTTAAAGAGTATAAGTTTACTATTAAAAATGTCATGTCTTTCAAGTCGGTCATTACGATGCAGCAGGATGACTCCCCAGCACTGCCAGATGCCAGACGGCTCCTTTGCAGCTTTGCGATACTGAAATAGGTGTTTTCATGCGAGGAAAAGCATGAGTTTTGTGGAGGAGTTTTCCAGCTATGCCAGTGTGGGTTGCTGATAATGGAGATGTTGCTATCAGATCAATAAGCTTTCCTTCTTCTCTGCTGGTATCAAAGGTAAAGACTAACTTCCTCGACCGTGGACTCAGAGAGTGGGCTGGTGGTGTTGGTACAGTGCCATGGAAGCTCTCCGCCAGCCAAAGCTGTGTGCGTGCTTTTTTATCAGTGCTAGTGTCTGCAGTGGACAGACCAGCCGTGCAGGCCTGGGCACCTCTGGAACCGCAGCCGCAGCCTGAGCCTTGGTTTGTTGAGCCTTGGCCATGGACTTGGGCCAGCAGAGCCTGAGACCCTTGGCAATGTGGGCATAAGCGCGTTTCCTAAGCTTGGGGTGAGCAAGGCAGGCTAGTTGAGCTTGTGCCTGCCGCCCTTTAGGATCTTGCGCTCGGCCTCCTTGGGCTTTACCGGGTCCTTGATAGGCTTGGCGTGTGCCTCGTGGCTTGGCAGAAATTGCAGGAGACTTAAAATCAGTTTCCAGTGATGCACTTCGTAGTTTTTGTTTGGTGAAGAGGAAGAAGCCTGATTGGTGATAATCTCAAAGATTGATTAAGACTTGGAAAGTAGTAATAATCCAGAAACCCAAAATAATGGGAAATTTTTCCTTCTTTTTTAAGAAAGAAATTGTGACAGAAAT